TTTTTTTTTTTTTGAGACAGAGTCTCAAGCTGTGGCCCTGGGTACCTGGGTAGAATGTCATAGGTCACCTATGACACATAGGTGTCATAGCTCACAATAACCTCCAACTCTTGGGCTCAAGGGATCCTCTTGCTTCAGTTTTTCTTTTTTCAGTGAGATGGGGTCTTGCTTTTGCTCAGGCTGGTCTCGAATTTGTGAGCCCAAGCAATCCACCCAGCTCGGTCTCTTAGAGTGCTAGGATTACAGGTGTGAGTCACTACCCAGTTTCTTGAGAAATATAATCATTAACTCTTTGTACTGTTTGTGATCTTTTTTTTTTTTTTTTTTTCAGCTTTTGGCTAGGGCTAGGTTTGAACCTGCCACCTCCAGCATGTGGGGCTGACGCCCTACTCCTTTGAGCCACAGGCCCTGCCGATCTTCTTTCTTTTTTTTTTTTTGGGACACAGTCTCACTTGGTCACTCTGGGTAGAGTACCATGGCATCAAGAGCTCATAGCAACCTCAAACTCTTAGGCTTAAGTGATTCTCTTGCCTCAGCCTCCCAAGGACTTTGGACTACAAGTCCATGTAGCTTGGACTACAGGTGCCAGCCACAACACCTGGCTATTTTTTAGAGAGGAGGTCTCACTTTTGCTCAGGCTGGTTTTGAACTTGTGAGCTCAGGCAATCCACTTGCCTTGGCCTCCTAAATGCTAGGATTACAGGCATGAGCCATAGGGCCTGGATTTCCTTTGTGATTTTTTTCCTACTAATTAAAAACTTTCCTTTGATCTAACATCTATAATCATAACTATGTAGCTGATAACTGAAGTGAAGAAAAAAAAGTATAAAAGAGTTTGGAAAAAATTGTTCACCAGAACTTAGCATTTTATGCCTTGAGGCATCTGAGTTCTCTCCAGCAATTAAAGGCTTCTTCTTCTGTATTTCTGGTATTAAGTGTCTGTTAGTTTTTTTTTTTCTTCTGTAGAGACAGAGTCTCACTTTATTGCCCTTGGTAGAGTGCCCTGGCATCACACAGCTCACAGCAACCTCTTGCCTCAGCCTCCTGAGTAGCTGGGACTATAGGCATCTGCCACAATGCCTAGCTAATTTTTTTGTTGTAGTTTGGCCAGGGCCGGGTTTGAACTTACCACCCTGGGTCTATGGGGCCGATGCCCTACTCACTGAGCCACAGGCGCAGCCCATGTGTCTGTCAGTTTTAATTCACCATTTTCCTGCAACAGGAATAGGAGCAAGGTTATGGAGAATGAATAAGGCTTGGCAGCTAAAACTACATATGGCTGCTTTAAAAAAATCATCTAGGCTTGGCGCCCATGGTATAGTGGTTACGGTGTTGGCCATATGTACTGAGGCTGGTGGGTTCGAACCCAGCCTGGGGCAGCTAAACAACAATGACAACTGCAACAAAAAAGTAGGCAGGCATTGTGGTGAGCACCTGTAGTCCCAGCTACTTGGGAGGCTGAGGCAAGAGAATCACTTAAACCCAAGAGTTTAAGGTTGCTGTGAGCTGATGCCACAGCACTCTACCGAGGATGACATAGTAAGGCTGTCTCAAAAAAAAAAAAAAATCATCTAATGTAGACTGACTTGAAGGCTTAACTGTGACATTCCAGTCTCAACAGATGGTGTGGTACCATGGTGAGAGAGTACAGAGCAGACATGACACAGACCTTTCTGGGAAGCCACTGCTCGTTTCAGGGCCTTTCCTTTGAGATTACAATGGTCAATACTTATCTTCTAAAGTTACCCCGGAGATGCTATAATTCAACCACTTACCTTTCTACAAGAAGTCTAGAGGGAAGGCAGGAGGACTAAACTTTCCTTCTTTCCAAAAATCCCAAAAAGGTAAATAAAGAGAAAAACACTTTCCAATATGAACATTTTATTCTGAACTTTTAAAATACATACATTTTACACTGCAGTTAATCAACATGAAGATTAAGAAAATAAATTCCCTCCTCTTTTAGCCTCCACTTACGGTGGGTACCCGTTCCTGTGGCCCCCGGGGGTGACGGGCCGGCGCAGGGGCTCGTCCACACTCCACTGCACACTGACCAGCCCCTTCCGCCTCACCTTCCCCGTGTTGGTCATGATCTGGTGAAAAGAAAGAGGAAATTGGGATGGAGAAGTCATCTACTTGAGAGCTGACCTAGAAATCAAACTTAATAATTAATCTATAGAGATAAGAGGCCTTGTAAATAAATGAGGAAGGATCATGTCACAGATTATTCAGGCAAACAGAAATTTCAGGGGGAAAATCCTTTTAGATTTATGTATTATACCAGTTACAAGTCTGAATTTGGTTTTTTTTTTTGGGTCTTACTTGACAGTCATGATTTTTTTTTGAGACAGAGTCTCTTTTTGTCTTTTTGTCACCCTTGGTAGAGGACTGTGGTGTCACAGCTCACAGAAACCTCAAACTCTTGGGCTTAAGCTATTTTCTTGCCTCAGCCTCCCAAGTAGCTGGGACTACAGGTGCCTGCCACACACCTGGCTATTTTTAGACAGGGTCTTGCTCTTGCTGGGGCTGGTCTCTAATTCTTGAGCTCAAGCAATCTGCCTGCCTCAGCCTGCCAGAGTGCTAGAGGCCACTGTACCTGGCCAGAAATATGAATTTTTAAATTTTAAAATTTTAAAATATCAAACCAGAGAGAAAGGAAGAAAATAGTTAACTACAATAACTTATTACATCTCTGTAAAGGACTGGACTTTAGAGAGCAAGGGAAAGAAGACAGATATTTGATGTCATAAAAAAAAGAACATTTCCATTTGTAGTATGTGAACAATAAGCCAGATTAAGAGGCAAACGACAAACTGAGGAGAAGCATTTTTTTTTTTTTT